GACCGAGGGTAAAGCATAATTTTCCTATGTTTTCCCTTATAAATCTTAACAATGTTCTGCAACCAGGACATTATACGGGTAAAGGTGTCAGTGAGCGTGAATCAAAAGCGGATCATGTATACACATAAGGAATTTATTTAATATTTGTTTAACTTGCATACTGACCATATTTTAATATTTGGACAGGTTACAAGAGGTTACAAAGTATGCGTTTTAAACATCAAACCTGTAGATTTTGCTTTCTGCTGATCGCTGAGTGAGTGAGTGAGTGTAGTGAAATAAACAGGTTTAATATGTCAAACACATTCTTTACAACCTCTTCTTGTATCCTACCAATTCAAAATATGATAAGGTATCTAATTATTTCATTTCAAAACATTGTTTTAGCTAAAATGAGTATTTCCAAGGGTTGTGAAAATAAATATACCTTATGACTGATAAATAAATCGGTGAGGTCAAGAATGCAGCAAATCAGCAAGATAAAGTTAAAGATAAAGTTAGTGCATGTGTATAGTTTACTTAGTTTTCTTTATTAAGGGGCTACGCCTACCTGCAAGACCGAAAAAAGCGAAAGTTTGGTACATTTATCAGTCGATGCTGTAAAAATAAGGTCCTGGTGCCCCGCACGGCTGCTCCCCGTGGACGATGTTCTTAAAAACGCTTTTTGCGGAGCCAACTGCGGTTTGTGATGTAATCATCTGAAATAAAAAAAAAAAACATGCCAAATCGTTAAGCATGTGTTAAACTAGTCCTTGATCGTTCGTTTTTTTTTTTTAATTTTTTTGAAAAAATGGCGGCCTTGCAAAGTTGAAGTGCCGATTTTTGATCCTTACAATTTGTCTTTGATCGGCTGTAAAAAATCGAAATTAAATGATAGACGAAATCCGAACGAGTCTCGAATATCCGTTTCCTTGATCTCTATTAAGCAAAGTTGATGGATTATGTTTAAATATTTCTAAACTTTCAGCTATGTCTAGTAGACCTGTTCATTTTAAACGAAATGTTCGGAATGTAACGGGTCAACCGTGATTACTGTTCGTCATGTTAATTTGAACTTCTGTGCAAATTTTCAGCAAAATCGGTGATGATTTAGAGGTGCTTCAAGTTAATTTTATGTTTTTAAGGTAATTTACGGCTTACAATATTTGTATCTCGAGACTGAAACAACGAAAGCTGCTGTAACAACTTTCATAGCAAAGTTTAATGTGTTATGTATCAACTTTGTAACCAAAGGTTGACTATTCGAAGTGATTTTATTGAAGTTTGACTTAGTTTCATGCTCGAAGATATCTTAAAAAGTGAAGAATTTTAAAGTATTTGTTCTACGAATTTTCCACCCATATGATATAAAAATGTGTAGTGTACGGCATAATGTTCCTCGTATTGTTCTAGAAGTTTCGTTCCAACATAGTTTTCGTGTATATTTCATAGATTGAGAGATAAAAATCAGAAAAGAGGCCGTTTTAGCTAAAATTCACAAGACAACAGAACCAATAAAAGTCAATTAGATTGACAGAACATAGTTGCATCGCTTTTCAATGACGACCGATGACTGTTTCATTGATATATGATTTTTTCATAAATATGAATCCTCAGTAGACGTGTTTTTTTTATCAAAGGCAAGTGTCACTCGAACCATTCAAATGTTCGTTATTTTATAAATTGCTGTTATGGTTCGAGTGACACTTGCCTTTGATAAAAAAACACGTCTACTGAGGATTCATATTTATGAAAAAATCATATATCAATGAAACAGTCATCGGTCGTCATTGAAAAGCAATGCAACTATGTTCTGTCAATCTAATTGACTTTTATTGGTTCCGTTGTCTTGTGAATTTTAGCTAAAACGGCCTCTTTTCTGATTTTTATCTCTCAATCTATGAAATATACACGAAAACTATGTTGGAACGAAACTTCTAGAACAATATGAGGAACATTATGCCGTACACTACACATTTTTATATCATATGGGTGGAAAATTCGTAGAACAAATACTTTAAAATTCTTCACTTTTTAAGATATCTTCGAGCATGAAACTAAGTCAAACTTCAATAAAATCACTTCGAATAGTCAACCTTTGGTTACAAAGTTGATACATAACACATTAAACTTTGCTATGAAAGTTGTTACAGCAGCTTTCGTTGTTTCAGTCTCGAGATACAAATATTGTAAGCCGTAAATTACCTTAAAAACATAAAATTAACTTGAAGCACCTCTAAATCATCACCGATTTTGCTGAAAATTTGCACAGAAGTTCAAATTAACATGACGAACAGTAATCACGGTTGACCCGTTACATTCCGAACATTTCGTTTAAAATGAACAGGTCTAATGTCTAGTTTCCAAGGCGAAGATACAGTCCGCAGGATATTAATGTTATCCTTTGTCGAATTGTGCCTCTTTGTAACGATATGTTCTGCAACCTTGGATTTAAATTCATAATGAAGTCCTTTATCCATCTCTTTGTTAGCCTTTTTTTACCTCTGCGATGTGTTCCTTAAACCTTGTTTCCAAAGTCCTTTTCGTCTGACCAATGTAGATTTTATTGCAATCTGGACAAGAGATTTTGTAGACTCCGGCTTTCCCTAAGACAATTATTGAATCTTTTGTTGATCCAAACAGTGACTTCAGCTGATTGGTCCTGCTGCTGAATACTTAATCTAGGCCAAAACTTCTAAACTTTGAAATCAATGGTTTGGTAATGTTTTTGTCGAAATTCACCGCTACCCGTTTTAAACCTAACTGAGGGTGTAAGAGTTGTTGAAATACGCCTAAAACAATCCCCTTGTTCTTTTATCGATTACTGCTTGAATTGTTTTTTCTTGATACCCAGTCTAGCGATTTAATAAATGTGAGCTATTTCCTTTGATTTGCCTGTATCGCTAAGAAGAAGAGTTTGCATCCTATGAACCATGTGGTGAAAAGCGGCCATTTTGTGTTGATGAGAATGGTTTGAAGTGCTTGGAATTACTCTCTTTGTATTTGTTAGTTTCCTATAGATTTCTAAATTGAAAGAAGACGTTTCCCTGATGATGAGATGATCTAAGAATTGGAGTTTTCCGTCTCTCTCTTCTTCGTGAGTAAATTTGATGTCCTTGTGAACGTTGCTAACGGCCTCCGAAGTTTTTGATAAATCTTCCCTTTTGACAATGCTAAAAATATCATCCACGCACCTATACCAACACTTGGGCAACAAATTCCTATCCTCCAGAGTATTTTCTAGGTTAGCCATGAACAATTCACATAAAAATGGAGAAAGCGGATTGCCCATTGGAGCGCGTTTAGTTTGTTTTAAAAAAATTCATCTGAAATTGATGGATTATATAAGTTAAGTTTACTCCACTATGCAGTGGGCAGAGTTTTTTAGATCTTCATGGAATTACTGTACAGAACCCGAAGCGAAACTGTAAGCGTGTGCTTACAAACAATAAAATGTAGAGGCTGTCAATCCTAGATACGCCATGTCCAAAGTGGCGGATTAATCAACTTTCATGTTCATCGGATTTGTCTTCACTAAAAGTTAGTTTTGGTGCTTACAATAAATCGGTTGGTTTTATAATATTCAATCGGAGAAAATCTTTGGTTCCATTTACGTAAGGTAAACAGTTATATAGTTGCGGTATGTAGTCTCCATAAGGATCTATTCACTGCAAAAAAAAAGTGTTGTGATTTCCATCTCTTCTTCTTCTTCTCCACATTTCAAGCTTATTGCATATCGCATATTAGCTTATTGCGTGCTCTCAACTTAGTGTTCTAGATGCACTTCCACAGTTATTAATTTAGAGCTTTCGATGCCTGTACCATTTTTGCATTGGTATAATTGTGTGGCAAGTCCAATCATACTTCTATGCCCAGGGAAGTCGAGAAATTTTCCAACCCGAAAAATTCCTAGACCGGACCGGGAATTGAACCCAGCCACCTCCAGCATGGTCTTGCTTTGTAGCTGCGCCTTTACCGACTGAGCTAAGGGAGGCCCCAAATCCATCCATCCACCCAATTTCCATCTATTTCATGTAAATTTCTTGCCAATGTAAAGACATGTAAATTTACAGGATAAAACCTGTAAGGCTACATAATTTAGTATGAAATTTACATTCACATGAATCCTTTTTAAATTCTGATGTTACGTATCTTTGGAAAATTCTGGGATCTCTTCAAATATGTGCCTTCTCAGCAATCAAAATAGGTCTTCTTAGTGTGAAAAACAAGTGATGATACTGATATTTGACCATGCATTGGAACAATGGTTCGAAACGAACCACTTGCTGATTCAAGATAATTGTCGTTTCATTTTTCGTATCCAATTGGATTTGCATTTTCATCTTATAAGATGTGCTGTAGTTCCAAGTCTACGACACTTCTTTTCTATTCATTCGGCTGATCTTTAGGTGACCGAAAGTTTTTCGTTAGTTGGGTTAATTCATTAAAAAAGACTTTCAGCCGTTCGTCTCTAACCGAAAGATTTAAACGGGGCTATTTCTTTCGATCTGCATTACTTCATAACTTGGAATTTTGTCAACTGTTTACATTTTTCCTTTTATATCCATCAATAAAATCCGATTAATCCAAACCATTCTATATTTCCAATGATGACAACCGAGATCATTTTTCCACCATACTGATTTCTCTTATCAACAGTTCGTTCAACATGACACGTGAAATAAATTCAATTATCGTTGCTCGATTTCCGTAATTTCATAATAGCTGAAGGCTAAATAAAACGACTACTATCGATTACCGATCTTTTTCATCGGAATCAATTACACCCAATCCCCAATCAAAACGAAAACACGCACGCCCACATACACACCATCAGCAGATTGATGCCATCATTTTTAATTTAATTTTTCTTCTTTTCTCTCCTTCCGAAAAAAATATCCGGAAACGAAAAAAATATCGAAAACCGCTTTCGCTCATTCTTCCTCATCATACCGAACAAACTCAAAAATCCACGCGTCCGTCATCAATCGTAAACAAACCATCCCCGTAAAAACGTGCAGGCTACATCCCACACCTCACCGCTCCATACCCCGAAGTCACCGGTCAATCAGCTCAAGTATCCGAGCTACCCGCCATCGTCACCCCATCATACACTGTCGGCGCCCCACTACCCAGCCCAGCAGCAGCGCCGTGCCGTCTCCCCATTGGGTGGCTCATCGACTGTAGCCTTCAGTGGAGGTCGTGCCGTTGTGCCTCAAAAACAACCGGCTCGCCCTGTGAGTGCTCCGTACTATCAGCAACAACAACAACAACAGCAGCAGCAGCAGCAGCATCAAAACCGCTACTCGTCACCATCGACGGCTTCCTTGGCTTCGCCCCGTTCGCCCCAGGTCATCAGTGGTGGCCATAGCCCACGCGGTTGGGCTCACGTTAAATCACCGGTCCCGGTGTACCGACCAACACCCCAGCAACAGCAGCAGCAGCAGCATCAGCAGCAGCATCTGCACCAGCAACAACCGTACGTCCCACCGCCCTTTCAAACGCAACCCGCTCCGTACCAACAACAGCAACGACCAACCTCCGGTGCTGGGTACGGTTACGGTTACGGACCGAGAAAGGTACATAACTGAAAACCGCTTGGCCAAATATACAGTCTATCAGCCGCGCTCGCACACAACTCCGGTGGGTTCCATAGAGTGTCGATCTCTGTGTTTTTTCTTTATCATCATTTTCTTGTCATTGTTTTCTTTTTGTTTAACTATCATCTGCTGTTTTTATTTTATTTTCCCTCAATCATAAATTACCTTTCTTTCCTTTTGTGTTATCCATTTCATATCTCTGTTTTTGTTTTTGTCGTTCTGTCTCATGATGTGACTGTGTGATGTCCTGTTTTATTTTCCATCTCAATTGCCAATTGATCTATTCAAAATTTGTTCTTCTAAAAGTAATCCCATAATTGGATTTGCAAAACTGAGATTCTGATACCTACTGCTTATCTGCACTAGATTACGCTAAATGCACCGCACAATGAATACAAAGCTAACTGGATTTAGTTGCTATTGTGGGATGCTTTCTCTTTTGATACTAAAACCAATACCGGTCCAGAATCAGAAAATCCGAAAACCAATCAGTTGAACGTGAATATGCTAATGCAAGCCTTTGAAAAAAACACCGCTTGGGATAAACAATTTTATATTCTGCGAGTGAATCACATCATGCCAGATGATAAAAGCTTAATGTGATACTCAAATTCTGGCTTCAGAAACCACCATTGACATTTTTGTAACCAAACGGTGGGTCATTGGGTGTAAACAGGTGGTTCAATGGAATGATTTAGTTTACTTTTCAGAGATATAAAGATTCTGTAGCCCAAACAAAATTTAGTTAAAATTTAAATAAAACAATAGGTATTATCCCGATTCTTATGCATACCATATGTTATTACAAAAAAAATTAGATACATAATCAAGCCTCCATGTTCATGTTCAAATCGCCAAACTCAGCCCTTTGTCCGCATGGGACGGTAGTGAACGATGTATCGTTCGCAAAACATGTACTGTTGACACCTGTCCGTGAAAGGTGCGAACAACAAACATCATATCCAGCCATACTACGAACAATAGCTTGGCGATCCCTTTTAAGTCAGCACACACCCGACTCCAATATAATTGAAACACCAAAACTCCCCTTGTCCCGGAAAACGACCACATCGTGAAACGTCATCATTTAGCGGTACCAACCAACGGACAGCGCGTGACACCACCGCAGACATGAGCGCAAACATTATTTGGGAGCACCAAGCACGCACTTTGATGATATGGCACCTCTGCGTGGGCTACTACGATGGAGACCCTTAGGAAAACAAATGCCAAACAAACAACACACAAACTCCTATTGGTCCTAGGTTCAAGAGAGCCTTTGCCTAACGCTGGAGCATAGCCTACTGTGGATTAGATAGTTGGATGTTAGTTTGCACTGTGGTTGACAGCGAAAAAAGCGAAACAATTCACGAAAAACATGATTGGGCAAACAACGCACAACGCGGTAAACATTAGCACGTAGGTATGCACTCGTTTGGGTTCACTGTTAGGACCGCTGTATGTTTTCCACCTGTCGAGTGGAAATTTTGTAGTGTTTCCCAATTTCCCAGATACGGATGCTACAGGAGCAGCTGCCACCGATATCGGTACGCAGATCAAAGGGGGTACGAAACGAAGCCATATTCAGAGGATCATAATTGAGACTTGTTTTCTATTTACCGAACGAGACGCGGACCCGAATCTATTCCCTAGGCGTGAGACGGTATTGAAAATCGAAAAAAGATTGTCGACCCCTTCGGGTATGCGTTTTTAAATCCACATTGAAAATAAAGTTTCAAACGATCCAATCGTTATTTTTATACAAAAATACACGGATTTATCCTTCTTACAGAAGAGTTGTAATATCGATTTGGGTGGCTCGTGAGTGTATGTGAGTTACGAAATTAAGTAAGTTAACTGACTCTCAGCAACCACTGCACCAAATTATGCAAAATCGGTAGCAAATAAAAGGTACAAGTCTGAAAGCTATTGCAATTTGTCCACAAATTGGAGACAACAAACGCCAAATGAAAGGAACCATCGAAGGTTAATGAAAATTTTTGGAACCGGTTTACTGGTTCTGAAGATGTTACAGGAACAACTTCCAATGGGTATGGGTTATGAGACTAGAACCAACCTGAAACATGTCAAACCGTGACACATCAAATCATATTAGAATTCTTAGATAAGCACAATGGAAATCATATCGAGTCATAAAGGATCACATTTTTGTCACACCCATACATGTTTTGGGCAGGCATGACAAATCATTTACATTCATTTCGTGCATTCATTTGCATTCCTTTGCCTCTAACTTTTTTCATCAACAGAATTTCGTAAAATTAAGTAGGGATGTAATGTCGGCCTAAATGTTCCTTATTTAAATTCCATACATAAATTCAGCAATCGACTAAATTTTCAATAGCGACCAAAAATATCCATAGTACCACCCCAATGACGCGTTCATCTAGATAAAATTTATAAATAGCAGATTTTTAGCGATGGGCCCAATCTTAGATCCATAGGCCAACTTCTTCTTCTTTCTTCTTCTTCGCTTTTCAAGCTTATTGCATATCGCATATTAGCTTATTGCGTGCTCTCAACTTAGTGTTCTAGATGCACTTCCACAGTTATTAATTGAGTGCTTTCGATGCCTTACCATTTTTGCATTGGTATAATTGTGTGGCAAGTCCAATCATACTTCTATGCCCAGGGAAGTCGAGAAATTTTCCAACCCGAAAAATTACTTGACCGGACCGGGAATTGAACCCAGCCACCTCCAGCATGGTCTTGCTTTGTAGCTGCGCCATTACCGACTGAGCTAAGGGAGGCCCACATTAGAGCCATTTCTCCTGTTATGCTTAAGTGGGTTTTGATATTAGCTACAACTTTTGTTAAAAACTCAAATCTGTATCTCTCATGCATGATGAACCAGAGCAAATAGAAGCCACCATTGTTTTTCAGTGAATGTAAATTACATTCACTGAAAAGTAATAACGTAATAACACTCTAGATCGTCATGCATAAGAGGTAAAGATTTGAGATAATCACAAAAGTTTTAGCTAATATCAAAACCTAAAAAAGCTTTGCACATTATTTTGCGGAATTCTGTTGCTGGCAAAAGTTAAAGACAAATGAATGTAAATGTAAAGTTTTACGTGCCTCAGTGACATGCCACATTTTTATTTATTTATTTAATTTGTTTTTCTTCATCGGACTTAACGTGTCTAAATGAAGCCTGATGGGGAAAAGCCTAGAAAAGACGTAAAAACCCCACATCTTTTCGAAATGCATGAATCACAATAATACAATACAATTACAACGAACATTAATCAAGTCTTTAGCATAAAAACAAGTTATCCTCCTATGGCATAGAGTTGTCCGTGAATCAGGTGGAAGTCCTCGTCATGCAGTTGAACCGGAAACAAAAAATAAACAGGTAGCACAATCCTTCACGTGTACATTAAATGGACAGCTGCTCACCTTCTCAGGAGTCTGCGTTGAATACGGTGACGAAAGGTTTCCGCTGCACAGTTAAAGTCGAAAAACTCGTAAAACTCGTTGAAACGCCCAGACATGAACCGTATTGGGTCATGCAAGCTGTAAAACGAGGTCCAAGATGCAGGAAACTCCTTGACCGAAGAACTCGTTCGGGTGCGTAGATTTCGAATTCAGCCAACATTCCTGGAGAGTCGATATCACCAATAAGTACTTTCGCTGCGAACACGGCCTGACTAATCGTTCGCCTATGTTCTAGTGTTTCAAGACCCAGGAGTTGACAACGATCTTCGTACGGCGGAAGGTTCACAGGGTCATTCCAAGGAAAGTGACGAAAGGCATACCGAACAAATTTCCTTTGAACAGATTCAATCCTCGCTATCCAAACTGCTTGATACGGGCACCATACTACCAGGCTGAATTCCAATATCGATCGCACTAGAGAGCAGTATAGAGATTTTAGACAGGCAGGATCGCGAAACTCGTCAGCGATCTTGAAAATGAACCCGAGTTGCCTGTTAGCTTTCGCAACGATACTCGAGTAATGAAGCTTGAATGTTAAGGCGCAGTCCAGCGTGATTCCTAGGTCACGAACAATCACGTCCACACGTTGCAAAAGTAGGTGATTTATCGTATAGTTGAATGCCACTGGTTTCAGCTTGCGATGAAATTAGATAATATTACATTTCTGTACATTCAACGTGAGATAGTTTCTTGAGCACCACTCTTCGAAAGTATCGATTAGATGCTGAAGCCGCAAGCAATCGGCGAAGCTACGAACAATCATATAGATCTTCACATCATCCGCGTAGAACGATCGGCAACCAATTGGGAGGATCAATCCGGCCTCATTCATAAAAATCGAGAATAGCAATGGTCCCAAGTTGCTACCTTGAGGAACACCGGAGCTGTTTGTAAAATAGTCCGATTGCTCTGATCCGACTCTAACACAAAGTTCCCGATTGGTCAGATAGGACTTGAACCGACGAGTTAAACCCGAGATACCGATACACCGAGTTTTTCAAATTTAGCTAGCAGTATGGAGTGGTCAACCCGGTCGAATGCAGCCTTAAGATTTGTTTATACAACGTCCACCTGCGCTCCAGCTTCCATACTCCGAAGACATAAAGAAATGAACGGAGCTAGATTTGTTGAAACTGATCTCTTGGGATAAAAACCGTGTTGGTCAGGAGAAATGTAATTTCTGCAGCTAGACAATAATGCGTCGTTGATGATGATTTCGAAAACTTTAGAGCAGGCACTGAGTGATGTGATCCCTCGGTAATTTTCGACGTTTCTCTTGTCTCCTTTCTTGTAGTTCGGAAACATGAATGACGATTTCCAACGCGTAGGGAACTCCTCCTGCTGTAATGAAATATTGAACAGCTTCGAAAGCGGTGTTGTAAGCTCTGAACAGCATCGCTTCAGGATGCTTGAGGGGATCCCGTCAGGGCCAGCAGCATTAGAAAATTTCAGCTTCTTGATGGCGAATTCGACGAGGTCTACTGTAACCGAGGTAATCGAAAAATTGAAAGCATCAC